TTTCTGTATTTGCTCCAGTCAATGACTTCAAATTTTTTGTTGCAATGAACTGGTATCAAGAAGATTCAAATATCGCAACCGCTGTGATTTCGCCAATTAACTGTCACCTTTGGTATTTAACAGAAGAGCTTATTATTTTATCTTTATTTAATGAAAAACTGTCAGAATTTACCAGAACAATAATGGCTAGAAAACAAAATGAAGAACAGGGACAATTTATTTTGTAAGTTGTTGAACAACACATAAAGCAAAATCCTATTCGAAATCAAAACTAATAAATACTTTATAGTACTTTTTATATTACTAGTATCTTCATTATCAATTATTCTTACAAAAAGCTAAAGCCTAAAAATAGCCTAATTGAATTTTAATTTTTTTTTTTTTTAAGATTTAAAAAAATAAAAGTTTTTGTTGCTTTATATTTTAATATGGCAACCTCTAGACATTAACCAATTTTTCTGAAAATTTCACCAAATGTTCATCTAATAACCTTTGATATATACATACAGTAACGTAGCATAAAATTAATTATTTTTTAAGTTATTTAAATTTAAAGTTGAAAAAAGTGTAAAAAACGCTATTTTTTCAAGATGACAACCTCTAGATGACATTTTAAAATTTTGAAAAACTTACAGACTTTTTTTTGGCCCATTATTTACCCCATTATGCATGTAACGCAACCATTTTCAAAAAATTGTTGGGAATGAAACACCCTAATGTTAGATTGCCAATCTAAATTTGCTTTTATTGTTGTGTATGTATGTATATATATATATATATATATATATATATATATATATATATATATATATATATATATATATATATATATATATATATATATATATATACCAAATAAAAGTGAATTTAGCTGCACATGAAACATCATTGATTATGTATATTGAAAAAAACTGAAGCTGGGGCTTTAGTACAAAAATTAGGCGAGAGATTGAGTTTACCAGGTTTTCTATGTATGAAGGACATGCATTACACACACCAAGTAATATCATTATTAAAAATTTTTTATGTAAGAGCAGAAATAAGGTTTGAAAGATATAAAAAAAGTATGTAGAAAAAAAAAAAAGAAACTCAAAAAAGTTCTAAAAAAGTATTGGGAAGAGATCCTCAAAGAAATTGTGGAATTCAGAAGTGGAACTCATTAAGTATTGGGAATAGATCCTCAGAGAGATGCTGGAATTAAGAAGTGGAATTCATGAAAGATTACAAAGATATCTTCAAAAAGGTGGTGGAATTAGTAGAATTCAGACTCTTGTACTGCTAGGCTATGTGCAACACAAAAAAAGCTGTATAAAAAGCTCTATCAGATGAGTAGAAGCTATTTGGTGAAGAGATTTAGAAGACAAGAAAAATGTAAACTGAGTTATTCATATAATCATAAACTTCAAAACAAAAACAAAATATACCTTCATATAATTCTTCAAGAAACATACTGTCACCTCCATGCGGCAATGTTGGTTCTGATGATGTATGTGTTATTGGAAACTCAAGAGTTAAAGAAGTCCTCTGTTTGCTATCTTGTTTTTCATCTTTAATTGGACTATCAGGAGACTTGTTATTTTGTGTAAGACTACGACTTCGTTTCAACAATAAATTGTTACTATGAGACTCTAAAAACAGTTATTAATCCAACAAAAAATTAGACTACCATTTTATTTTTAAGATTTATGTTTAAAAAATGATATCAATTGATAACACATAAGGTAACAAAAGGATATCATAATAAAAACTTATTATTTTAAAAGAAACTTTAACTAATGATATTCAATTAAAACTTTAATTAATGTTAATATAAGTATAAAAAAAAAAAAAAAAAAAATTTAAACCTTTTGTTTTAGTCTCATTTGTAGCATATGTTCCAATGACATGACGAGCACAAGCTTGCATTTCTGATTTTAAACTCTGATTTTAAAAAATTTTATTATTTTTTAAATAATAAATTAAAATAAAATAAAAATTTATTAACAATAAAAATAAAACTTTTGAAATAAAAAAAAAAAGAAAAAAAAAGCAACACCCTTTATTTGTAAACTTAACATAAAAATTTGATAAAGAGCAAATTAAAACTTTATCAATAAATTTACCTGAAACTCGTCTCCAGATAATTGTTCTAAATTAATTGGATCAATTGCTGCAATTAAAAATTCCATTCCTTGGGCAGCCCATCTAAAATGTTAGAACATTAAACTTTATTACTAAGTAAAAGTTGCTGATTTAAAAAAAATCCTTAACACATTTACTTTTATATATATCTATAATAAGAAAAAAAAAAAACCTATATAATATATATATATGTATAAGGAAAGAAAAAAACCTAGGTCGAGTTCCTCTGCCTCGTTCAGTTTTTGTCATAACAAAATTCATCCATATTTTAGACAATCTAATAAAAAGCTTTGACAATTCTAAACGATGTTGACCAGTAAATAACCGAAATACTTCACGAAGATACTGAAAATAAACATGCTACTATCAAAATTATTCTCTCTTATATATATATGATTAATCTCTCTCTCTCTCTCTCTCTCTCTCTCTATATATATATATATATATATATATATATATATATATATATATATATATATATATATATATATATATATATATATGTATATTTAATATTAAATTTTTGATCGAAAAGTGCGCGATGCTCTTGAAATACAGAGATTCTAATGTTCACCTTTACATGGCGGAATTAATTAAGATAACGGGCAGTTTGTGAAAACTAAATTTTGGACTCCGTTTTTTACATTTTTATGTAAGCAAGAAAGAAATCATTCAACTGCTGATGTCAGTTAATTTTAAATTGTTTATAACATTACAAAAAAAAAAAATTTTTTATATAAATTTTTGCAAGCTGATGATGTTGGTAATCATAATCCACCAAAAATTTCTAATAATAAATTATAAATTGTATTAAGAGAACTCGTATTAATTGATATTTGCATACTAATATAACATAAACTAAAGATATAAATATATATATATATATATATATATATATATATATATATATATATATATATATATATATATATATATATATATATATATATCAACCCTCGGAATTAGCATCAGCATTAGGCAACGCCAAACTAACTGCCATCCTTAAATTGTTTGAGGTCAGCAAAAAATTGCCAATCTCGTTTCTATGCTTTATGGTAAGACCGTTGTATCAAATTTTTTTTGCCGACCTTTAAAAGATTGAGGTCAGGAAATCTTTAAAAGATTGAGTTTGGCAAATTTTTGCAGACCTCATTTTTTCTAATTCTGAGGGTTGATATATATATATGTTTTTTACAGTGTGCATATATATATATATATGTATAAGTATATACATATATATATATACAAAGATACATATACAGTAGAATCCTGTTAACTCATTCCCCTTAATTCTCTATACATACTAAAAGCTTCGCTTAACTTGAACATTCACTATGTCGGACAAAATATATATATACCCGTTCAGAGTCCGAGTTAACAGGATTCTACTGTGTGTATATATATATATATATATATATATATATATATATATATATATATATATATATATATATATATATATATATATATATATATATATGTATATATATATATATAATATAATATAATATAATACAATATAATACAATATAAATTATCAAACAATTGTAAAACAGTCATTTAACAATTCAATTCAATTGAAATGAGATTTTTTGTAAGAAAATATATGCTTGAATTTCAATCACATATTCTTGTTTAGTTTAATAGAAACTCTCATTTCTAATGATGTTCTCATCATCTCATTCATTTTATCAACACTTTAGTGTATTTAAATTTTTTTTTTGTAACAAAAGATTAAATGCATTGTGACATAAGAGTTTGACTCTTAAATCAACAATACATTTAATCTTTTGTAAAAGCATTTTATCAAAGCATTATAAACAACTCAAAGAGCATGGAAATTTATCATATTCATATCCACTAAAATATATCCTTGTTTATGCTCTAGAATTCTGGTGTATATAAAGAAATAAAAAAATAAAGCAAAAAAAAACTTAAAAATAAAAACCTCAAATCCAAGTGAAAAACAGAGGTGCATTGACCCAACACAAAGTTTTTTTGCATAAATTGTATCAACCTTTGCTTTATCTGATGAGTAATATGTATCAAGGTTACTTCCAATATCCTCAATTGCTGATACTATGACATTTGCCAACAAAAGAGCAGAATTCTTAAGAAATATATATATATGTATATATATATATATATATATATATATATATATATATATATATATATATATATATATATATATATATATATATATATATATAAACTAGTTTTTTGTTTCCCAAATTACAAATATTTTAATTGGATTTAAATTTGGGCAATTCTTTATGTTTAAAAACAACAATATTTCAATTATTTAATCAGCAATTTAAATCATCATTTTGAGAAAGTTATATATTTAAATCATTAAATACATCATTAAATATCGGTGAAAAATATATACATTCATATCTTCGAGAGATTTCTCAATTAAATGATGACTTGAAGTCTGTTCTGATGTCAATTTAATACATTCAGCCATAACCTTTTCAATATTCTTTTTTTGCGAGTTTAAATTAAATGAATTGCTGCATATTAAAACTAATCCTTCAACCTTAAAAAAAAATTAAAGAAACAAATATAAATAAGTGTATAGAAATTAAAGAAACAAAAGTGGTAAGTGTATAGAAATTAAAAAACAAATGTGGTAAGTATACAGAAACTAGTGTATAGGTAAATACATAAGGTAAGTGTATAGAAAATGATAGTAAACCAATCAACATTTTTTTGTAATTTCTATATTGTAAATTGAATGTAAATAAACAATAATAAATACCTTAATGTTAGAAAAAACTATATCAAGATCATTTGAAAAATCCAGAGCTGACCTTCTTCCTTTCCAAAATGGTTTTCCGGTTGGACACTTAAGCAAAATTATATAACCATCCATACACCATGAGCGATCTGGATCATCATAACCACGTATTAGACTAATGAGTTGTTTGCATTGTCTAAATTTTGAAAAATAACTTAACGCTTGACTTTGATATTTCTCAATAAGTCAAAATGGATTTGAGATCCAGTAACTTCTTTTCCACTTAAACACAATGAACTATGATATTTGTATGTATATGGAAGAAAACAACAAAAATAAGTTGTGTCAAATATTGATAGAACTGAAATAGTCCCAATAGACTTATTAATAGATGCATTTTATTCTGCACCTTTTTAGTTCAAATTTTAACAAATATATTATTGGAATAAACTTTGCACTTTATTCAACTTTGAAGAAAAGATGATGTACAAAAACAAGACAAAGCAAAAAAGAAGAAGTGGGATTTTGTACCTAAATGATGTGTACCTAAATGCTTTAGCAACTAAGTAAAAAAAAAAAATCATCATTTTTGTTTCCCAACTAAGAAAATATTGAAGAATAAAACAAAATATTAATTTCTTATAATAATTTTTACATACTTTTACATCCTTTCAAATATTTTTCAGTCATAAACAGAAAATAAAATGTATTTAAAATGTTGAATCTAGTAAAACCTTGATAGAGCTTTTAAAAAAGCTAAAACCAGCAGGAATATTTTGAAAGCTAATTATATACTCTTTTACTTATGTATACTTGTATAAAATGTACTTCAAAAATGATTCTCTAACAAAATTTAACTAAAACTACGTTAAAATATTTGTTTATATCACTATGTAATTATTCTCCTGCGGATATAAAACGACTTCAAAGTTATTATCGTAAATATAAATAATTATAAGAGAAAAAACTATTATCTATATGAGAGCAAGTCATGAATGAAATGTCAATTAAAAAAAAAAAATTGAACTGTGAGTTTTTGATTTTTCTCTACATACAAACATCGTAATGCCTTGCGTGAAATAATAAGGGGAAAGGCAAATTCAATTTAGTATTTATTATTTTTAGAAAATTTTATGCCTATATAATAAAATATTCAATACCTAATAATATTACAGTTCAATTTTAAGAATATACGAGGGAGTATTTGATGCCATTTAAAAAAAAATTGGATTTAAAAAAGTTATAAGGAAAATAAATTTAGGAACTTTTGTAATTCAATGTAATTCAATTTTGTAATTCAATTTTGTAATTGTAATGTCAAAAGAACTTTACATGATATTGAATACTAATTAATAAAAAACAAAAAATTTTAAATACATTTTAAAATGTAAAGAATTCTTTTAAACAAAAACACAAGGGAGAGCCTTTATAAAAAAAAAAAAAAATTTACTTTTGTAAATTATAATCTATGATGGACCTAATATTTCATATGTTATACATAATGAAATAATTAGCAGATGATAAGAAAATAATTACTTTAATAAAAATTGTGAAACTATTTTACATTCCTTTGAAGCTAAGTTTTACATCCTCCATTTTAATATTTTACATTGCTTCAACACTTAATTTATATTCTTTTAAAATTTTGCATTCCTTTAAAACTAAATTAAAATTTTTTATTTCATATTTAATTTAAAGTCTTCAATAAAAACTTTATAAAATAATTTGTTTCTTTAAAAAATTTACAGTTGCGGTTAAATAGTTTTTTTCATGACCTAATATTTTCTGAACAAACACCACATAAACGATATTAAAAGATAATTTAAATATTCTAAAATTTGAATTTAAGAATTTTTTAAATAGAAATTTAATTTTAAATTCCTTAGTTCTTTTTTAACTCCTGAAAATACAACTCTTTTCTTTATATAACTTTATTTTTTGTTGATTTGTTTATGCTAATGCCTCTAATAGGTTAATGTGCAAAATTTGACTTGATAAAACTGAGTTCTAATGTAGGTAGTTTATTTTCGTGCACACATATGCATTTAACATGTACCTACTTTTTATAACTATCTTCTAAACAAAGTTTTATTTTAAATTTTCAAGATAAAAAATTTACTAGTTTGTTTTCTTTCACTTTTAAGAAAAATTTTATTACATAAAAATACAGTAGGGAGCTCAATAATAATTTTATACATTTAATGTTTTAGTAATTATACAAAGAAACCCAAATCAACATTTAATTCTTACCCTTTTCGATTTGTCAAAACAGATGGTGCAAAAATAAGGAATTCTGTTTCTAAATCATGCTCAATCTAGAAACAATTTTAACATTTTAAATGGAAAATTTTACTTAATATTAGACCAATCAGTTTTTTATAAAACCTTCAAAGTAATAAAATTAAGAAATAACTAGGGAGATTAACTATAAAAGAAATTAATTTTAATTAATATGTGATTGTTAAAAAAAAAATAAGTTGTTAATTATTAATTGTTGAAAAACAACACTCACCAATACATGATTTGAAGATTTTAATTTTGAAAAACATTTTTCATATGAAGAAATTATATCATATTTTGCAGCTATGCCTAAATCCTTGCACAACATTTTTGCAAAACCTAATCCTTTTGTAGCTCTCGCTCTAACTTCGTTGATAATGTTTTTACATTCAAAACACACAGTTGCTATTTTTTGACGAAAATTTGAACAATCCTCTTGTAATTTACAATCAGAGAAAAGGCAACCAACTGAATCTTTAAGATACTGACTGCTGGATTTAAGAATATCAGATACCATTACACTAAAGATAAAGAAAATAATAAATCAGTTCAGTTTCATTAAATGAATGAAATACTTTAACAGGAAATAATTTATTCCAACTTCTATGTATTTTTATTCAAAAACAATATGAGAAATAAGTATTTAAATATTAATAAGGATCCTAATATTTTAATATCTTAATAAACTTATAATTATTAATTAACTCTATAATTATTTAATGAAGTAGTTATTTTTTAATTTAACAGTATTTTAAAGAAATAGTTCACGTTTTAAAAGCCATAAACTATTGTGACAAAACTTTAAATTACAAATACTTAAAATTATTAAAAAATAAGCTCATGATTTACAAATATAATAAACTCAGGTAAAATAAAAAACTAACAAAGTTTAAATTTTTATAAAACTAACTTTTTATCCAAATATTAAAATAATCAAAATTCTACAGCTTTGTCTAATCCTACAAATTGCCTGTAAAGATAGATAAAAAATAGTTATAAACTGGCTTAGAACATTAGGGCAAGATTTCTTAAATAAAATATATTTTTTTAAATTAGGAAAAAAACTTAGAGGAAAAATATAACTTTGTTACTCTTTAAAAAAAGTGATACGTACAAAAAGGATTTTATTTTAAGGGTAGATAAATAAATTTTGATTTTAACTTCACCTATTTTGGTTAGTAACAATAATCCACTGGTAGCCATTTTTTTTCTTTTAAAAGTAATAAATACTTCATAGTTGGAAAAAAAGAAAAGCGCTGGTAAACATATTGTTTTTATTAAAAATGTCAAAAAGAACAAAAAATGCATTAATAATTAAATTGAGCAAACTTGTAAGGTATGGGAAAGAACTTTATACATCTGAGCTTCCAACAGATAGAGATAAGCTAAGATATGGTATATTTCTAAGAGAAAATAATGAGAAAAATATGATACTTTGCTGTAGATCAGCTAGTAACTGATATACTACCCGCTTTACTTGGTCAATGGTTGAAAGCAAATGCACATTTTACATACCCTATTGTAAATCACGAAAAAACAATTTATAAAAAAATCAAGTGCTTATGGCAGGTGTCAGGTGTTGATGTTAGTATTGGATGTGGAAAAAAAGCTGAAAAAGAAAGATTTAATTTAAAATTAGACAAGCTTGTGGATATCTTAATTTTGTAAATGTAAACTAATCCTTTGTTTAGAATATAAATGTGATTTAGAATGTATAGAAAAAGTTCATATAAAGTGTAAATGTAAAAGAGATGAGAAAATACCAATTTAAAGGCTTCAATTAGTCTCAGAGGACTAAAACTCAATTTATCCAATCTCAGAGGACTAAAACTGGCAGCTTTGGAACTTTTCATATTAGTAGTGCAGATAGGGGAGAATCCAAAAAAATTGAAACAAAACAACAAAGACAAATTGCAATGAGAAAGAAGAAAGAAATGTAATTACACTGCCCAACAGTGATTTTGTTTCGGAACCAAAATTAGTTGTTTCTTTTGTATTTCTACCTGCTGAATTCAAAAAATGAAATTGAAAATGACATATTAGGCTCTTAAAAACCATACAGTCATCTGATGGTTTTTTATGGAACCTAAAAACCATACAGTTGACTGCTATTTATGCTTGATCCCACCCATTAAGGCAGGTTTGTCAATGAAAATAGGAACAGTTAAATATCCAAATCTTCCATCTGCTATTTTACCTATTCCACATTCGGATAGTTTACCAGTTCCTACTCCACTACAAAGTTGTTAGAAGCAAAAAATGAAGGCAGAAATTAAGTAGAAATATAAGAAAAAGAAGAAAGCCTTCCACATCAAACGATCCTGATTTTGTATTAACAGATGTGCTCCACAGATTGAGTCAAGCAGAATTAAGTGATCTTGTTCGAGATCTGGACTTATCACAGAAAAAGGCAGAACTTCTAGGGTTAAGACTAAAGTAGTGGAAACTTCTCTAATTTGATGTCAAGGTTTCAGCTTACAGAAAACGCCAGCAGAATTTGTTTTCTATTTTTGAGAAGAAAAATAATCTTGATGTTTGTATTGATGTTTTTGTCTTAATTTGAACTATGATCCAACTGAATGGAGATTATTCATAGACTTATCTAAGTTAAACTTGAAAGATGTATTACTGCACAGTGAAAACCACCTCCTTTTTGTTTCTATTGGGCATGCAGTTCACATGAAAGAGACTTATATAAACATGGAAGTTCTCCTGAACTCAATTAATTACAATGAACATGAATGGAAAATTTGTGGTGATCTAAAAGTCATTGCTATACTTTTAGTAATGCAATTAGGGTATACTAAATAATGCTGTTTTTTGTGTTTGTAGAACAGTAGAGACAGAAGTTCACACTATATAAAAGAAGACTGGCCTGCTAGAAATCTCAACACAAATGAAAAAAATGTTATTGCTGAACCACTTGTGGATCCAAAAAATGCTGTTTACATTACATACTAAGTTTGGTTCAATGGAAAATATTGTCAAAGGTATGAACAAAGAAGGACATGCTTTTAAGTTTTTTAAGAAGAAAAAATTACAAAAATAAGTGATTCAAAAGAGGGTATTATTTTTGGGCCACAAATATGTCAACTTATGAAGGATCCTGCATTTGACAGAGTTTTAAAGTGGCAAAAAAAAGAAACTTGGGAAGCTCTTAAGGGAGTGATTTGTGGATTTTTAGGCAACAAAAGAGATAATAACTATATTCAATTGGTAACAGTACTTCTGCAAAAATACCATCAACTTGGATGTAACATGTCCCTCAAGATTCATTTCCTCCACTCGCAAAAAGATCACAATCTGGTGATGATACCCCATAATCATCTTTATACCTATTAGCTTGATGATCATGATTTTTTTGTTTAAAACTGTAAATATATCTGTAATAAAAAAAAAACCAAATGTACTTTAAATGTTATTAGAATATGTAAATTATATGTCATATTTCTCTTTTGCAAATTAACTGAAATAAAGATTTATTACTATAGTATACCTCAGAAACTAGAGCTAATAAAAAAAATTTTATTGTCATTTTCTTTTTTCTCAGCCCAAAATTAGTTAATAATTTAAATAAAATTGCTAAAGATACCGAAAAAAAAAAATTTTTTTGCAGCCAAGTGTTATTTTAGAAGAAGGCTCATATGACAGTACAGGGTTGAGGATACAAGGGCCCCCACTTTTTTTCTAAAGGACCTTTTTTTTTAAGAGAGAATTCTAGATATAGAGGATTTAGAAATAGACGATTGTGCTGCTCCACATCAAAACCTGTGTCATCGGCCAGCTGTATTGTATATTTAAACTTTATATATGTATATATTAAGCCAGACAACCAAACAAACAAATAGGAAAATTTGATTGCCAACATTAAGAACAAATCTTTATTTCGTTTATTGCCACATATGGAGCAAGAAAGTTTAAAACTATTAGTTGCTACCAAAAAACATATTTCAAATTCAGTTTAGTTGCTTCATGTTCCATATATGAGTGAGGTAAAAATTATAGTTTGGATTAAGACCTTGTAGTTTCAAGGAAAAATATTGATTTGAGTAGTCGTGTTTTTAAGTAAATTGTTTTATGATGTGTTGAGAGAGAAACACGAAAGAGTTGAATGCATTTTAGTTTAAATACAGATTAAAAATAAAAAGAATTTGTTTTATTTATTTAGGATTATGAACATCATGAAACTGTTAAAACAACTTAGGTAAACAGCTGCTCTTCCACATTCAAAAATGATGTACATCATGAAACTGTTAGAACAACTTAGGTAAACAGCTGCTCTTCCACATTCAAAAATGATGTACATCATGAAACTGTTAGAACAACTTAGGTAAACAGCTGCTCTTCCACATTCAAAAATGATGTACATCATGAAACTGTTAGAACAACTTAGGTAAACAGCTGCTCTTCCACATTTAAAAATGACTGAACAGAATCCAAGTTGATAATCAAAATCAAAGTAAATTTTCTCTGAATCTGAAACATGTTTAATTTAGCATGAGTCACCAAACAAGCTTAAAATATGTTGCTGAAATAGCAACAGCTGCTTCGATAAATGCAAAGCTTCTAAGCAAGAATGATTACCATCTTGCTATAGATCATAATAAGGTCAAAAGGGCTCAGGAAAAGTTAGGAAAAAAAATTAGACAATCAGTTTGAATTAGACCTAAAAAAAAACCAGTTTCATGCCTTTTTTTTTGTGGGATTTTCCTAATTTGATTAAAGAAGAACAAGTTGTTTAAGATCCTGGTGGTATCTTTTTCATTTTGTTCCAGATATGACCAATAATAATAATAAAAAAGCTGAAGTTATTGCAGTTCACTTGTTTGACTTGTTAAAAAAAAAAAAACCAAAATCAACATTTCATGGCTATTGGAGGAGATAGCACAAATGTCAATACTGGTTGGGCAAGTGGAGTCATGCAATGGGTAGAAAAAAAAATTAAATAAAAGATTAGTTTGGATTGTTTGTGATTTGGTAAATTAGGGTTATAGCATCTAATTGAATATTTAGATGGTACAAGGCTATCTTGACACAGCAACTGAGATTAAAATCAATAGAAACTTTGTTAAGATAAATTTTGGTCCTCCTTTGATTTATCTCAGTCTTGAGATTATTAAGGATTTAAGCAATGACCAAAGCTATGCTTATCAAATTCGTCAAGCAATAAAAACTGGAATGGTGCCTATCAGGTTAGCAATGCTGGAAATTGGACCAGTCTGCCACAGTAGATAGCTAACAACAGCACTTCAATTTTGCAGGATTTGAATCTCATCATGGCCTTACTGGTGAAAACCTAGAAAATTAAAAAAAAATTGTGGACTTTATTGTTAGTGTTTATATACCTAACTGGTTTAATATTAAAGTTAAATCAAGTTAGATTGAGGGACTTAGGCATGTATTGTATCAACTAGAACTATTTAAAAATTCAGAATAAAGTAGTTTAGATATTGCTATGCCAACAATTAGATGATTAGTACATTCTGAAGTAATTTTACAAACCATGCTTTGCAGCAAAAATGCAGAAAAAAAAGAAGCTATAAATAGAATCCTAAAAATATGATCAGATTAAGAACACCAGAAACAAATCCTAATGCTGAACAGCTGCCAGACATTACAATTTGGAACTTAATTGTAACTAAGCCTCCACTTACCTGAACTCTTATCTCTGTTATAATCAAAGAGCCGTAAACTACCATATGGAAGATCCTGGCTGGACTCACACAGTCAGTTAAAAGATACATCAAGTTGGTAACTGAAGCTGCAAGCCATGTTTACACACATGAACAAAGAGAATCGTATATACATGCTCAGCTTGCCAGTAGACATTTAATGTCAAAAAATAGTAATAAAAAAGATATGGCAACCCTTGCAAAGCTGCAGGGGGAGTAGCTAAAGACTTTAAAAATGCTGAATTAGCCAAAAATTGGTTTTTACTGCTTATTTATTTAATTTAAAAAGTGAGGGAGATCTCTCTTTTTTTTGAATAATGTGTACCATTGCAGAAAGGGAGGAGTAATTAAAAGGGTACAGACAAAGAGGGTCTAAAATCAGTGGCTATACTGTGTGCATACTTTATATAATCTACCCAGCTTCTCACAAAATTTGAATTCCAATATTAATTATCCATGATGTTAGTGGCACAGTAACGTCATGAAAGTTGGGGCTGGAGAAAACAAAGTTAAGGATTTACTGGGCAAGGATAGAGGTTAGCTCCTTCCTTTGAGTAAATTATGATTAACGTCCAAAACTACCGAAAACGTGAAATATTCAAAGCAAAATTTACTAAGTTAACACTTGTTGGAATTTTTTAAATATTCCTGTATTTAACTAATAGTAAAAAAAAATATCTTCACTACTTTAGTTAAAATAACAAACTCCTTTTAGGAGTTTGTTATTTTAATTAAAGTAACACTGATAACGCATGCTTAGAAAATGTAGACTTGTTTAGTTGAAATTAGTATTGTTGTATTTCCTTTCTTCTTTGTTTTACAAATTTTATTTAGCTTTTTATCGATATAATGTTTGCTATAATTTAAAAGCTTAAATTATAAAAATTTAGCTGTTTGGATTCTTTATAACAATTGATTTTATCACTTGACAGAATTCATTAAAAGCATGTACACTTAAAAAAAGCAAGGCTATTTACAAAATATATTTCTCATATTTAACCATGTAACACTTAGGTTTAGCCTGATAGATTTTAAACTTTAACGCGACTATTATTATATATTGTTGAATAAGCAAAATTTTTTTTTCACTGGAATTATCTATTGTTTAAACTTATAAGGCTTTTATTTAACCTTTTTATTTTATTTTACTAGAAATGAAATTTCTTGTATTTAAAATATGTACAAGGCATTAACATTTAAAATATGTACAAGGCATAAATTAAAGTAGCTTAAATAACACAAGTGGTAATAAAACATTTTATTAACACAAGCATTTTTCAATAATTAAAAAAATATATATTTTACATAAAATTGCTGGTAAAAAAATTAACTAATGATCAGTTTTTTTCTTCCAATATTTAAGCTTTAATTGCTTACTGACTTTTTAAAAATTAAAATAATTGTTAATTTATAAATATTAAAAATATTGCAATAATTCCAAATTTGTTAATCAGAATTTAAGAAATAAAACAAAATCATTTTAGTTATAAACAAAATATGATTGTGTCAAATGTCGATAAAGTTAAAAGATATTTTTATTTTTTAAAAAACTAGAATATAAGTAAACATAATTACATAGGACCATTAAACATTCGATAATAACATTTCTACATTGTTTTGAGTTAATTATTCAATTAAACTAGTTTATTTAATTAAACTAGTAAATTTGTAAATTGCAGTAGTTCAAAAAAGATAACATCAATAAATAAAAAAAACAAACATAAAGAATTTTACGACATCAAAAACCTTATTACACATGTGCATGGTGTATTTTTATTCATCACAAGGCCTGATTAATTGCAACAAAAATTTATAAAAGTTTATTTTAAGTCTGTTGCTTAAAAACAAAAGCAATTTTAAGTCTGTTCACAAAAACAAAAGCAATTTAATCAAAAAACTTCTAAACACAATTCATTGTATAAAAAAATTCTAATTTAATTTACATAAATTTTTTTTGCTTGTTTGGTAGTAGATTTTTTGTAGATTTTGGCAATAATAAATTAAAAATTAGCATAAATTTATCAGCATAATGAAGTCATCATTTAAAAGAACTTTGTATTTTAAGATTTTTTTTAAAAAGTAATATTCAGAATACAAACATTTGCATTTATCTTAAAAAAATCTTCTAAAATTCTTGAAGCTTGAGAGTAGTAATTTATTACTTCATAAGGAAAAATCATCTAAATATAACAGTAGCAATATATGATATTTATTGCTACTGTTGATATTAGATGACTCTATAAAATAGAAATTTAATACTTTTTTTAGGTAACAAAACAGTAGTTTTGAAGTAAATCTATTTTAGGAAACACTAAAATAATAGAATAAGGATTGTTTTTGTTTATAGAGTATCCCAGACCTAACACATCCACGGTTCTAAAAATCATGAATTTAACTAAGACTGAGGCCAAGTGAGATAAAGTTAAAATTACCAATTTATTACCAAAACTTGTAAGCCCCAATTGATTCTCCTTCATGAACAAACATGCAGATCTCCTTTGTGAAGCTCCATTCTTCATCTAAAATATTCTTAAGATTTTCACTTGTTTTTTCCATTTTATGCACCAGTTTAATCCAATGTTGTAAATAATCAAAGTATAACTGTAAAAGAAGAAAAGGAAACTTGAAAATATTAAAAATATTTTCATCATAATAATAATTAAACAATATTGTTCTTGTATCAAAAAACTAACTTGCATTGTAAATAGATTAAAAAAATTGATTTTAATAAAACATAAACTTATAACTTTTTAGCAATTTTGAACAAAAAATAATCAAAAACATTAAATTATTTAGACATATATAAACTATCTCTATGATCCGTTGAAATTTGGACATTTTTTTCAAAAACTACTTAATAAAGTCTAAACATTTTTTTAAAATGATGTATATGTGTTTAGTTTCTATTTCAAAAAAAAAAAAAAAAAATTAACTCTAAACTTTACAATGTGCAAGTAATTTAATTTTTTGTAAAGTACACCCCAATATTAAATCCACAATTTAACTTTGTGTCACTTTTTTGTAGTATATTAATTCATAAATTTTGGAGTTTTTAAAACTATTTGTATACTTGCCTTTTTTCCTCAGTATTCCATCACTATTGCAGGTCTTGTTTTGAAATATTACACAGCACGCAATTTCTATACACGTTAAGCAATTTTACATATGTGTTAAGCAATTTTATGTACCCCTAAAGCAATTTTAGTTAAGCAACTTTTTATTACTTTTAATATTATTTTTAAGTTATTCAATCATTTTTTTCTAAAAAAAATTTTTTTTTTGGTTTTCCTTCCTACTTTTTTTTTTTTTTTTTACTAAAATTAAATTCCATAAATGTGTTCCAAGCAAAACATTAGACTTTTTTTAATAAGACAACTGAAAGTGGAACAAAATTTTGTAAATAATACTTTTTTTAATAAATAACACCTTTTTTAATAAATAATACTTGAAAATCTAAAATAATCTTTACTTTTGCCACAAAATTTATGGTAAAAATTTTGAAAATGGGTTGAATTTAGTAATTTAACATTTTTAAAAAAATAAAATTGATTTATAATAACCATGAATTATAATATTTCTACATTGTTTTGGTTAATTGAGTTAATTTTTCAACAAACTAGTTTTACGTTAATTTTTTATACTGCGATTGTTAACTAAAAAAATGTCATTTAAAAAAATAACAATAAAGAGAACTTTATGACATAAAATTTACATAAATTAAAGCATTAAGTATTTTATATTTAAAAAAAGACTAGCTATTGCCCAGTAAGATTTAACAACTTGCTGTTCAGAACATATCTAGCCAAAAGATTTAACAACTTGCTGTTCAGAACATATCTAGCCAAAAGATTTAACAACTTGCTGTTCAGAACATATCTAGCCAAAATAAAAATTTTCTAGCCAAAATAAATCCAAAGAATATCATCCAAACCAATTGCCTTTATATTTGAAACTTTAGATTGTTCGAAACTAGCATTAAAACATACTCGTTCTTTCTCTTTTTTGATTTTACTTGGGTCAATTACATTATTTAGATGCAGAAAACCAATATCTTGAAGTAGAGCATTAGCTACTCAAAGTTTAAAGGTCACAGTTTATTACCTGATCTGAATCCATAATTGTATCAAACTTTTTAATATAAATTTCTTCTTCAGAAGCTTTTGTTAGCTTTGTTTTCTTGAGATAGGTGATAAAATAAAGTTATCAATACCTCATATTTGAAACTATCCTTTAATGCCAATTTTTTCCTTTTGGTCTTTTATATAGGAACCTAAATAATTATCTTTCTAAGGAACCTAAATAATTATTTTCAATTAATTAGTGGAGCATGTGGTATTATATAAAAATATAAAAAAAATCTATCAATTAAAAAATAAATAAGTTATTTAAAGTTTCATTGAAGGAAAATTACTTTCTATTTTTATAACTTACTTTTTTACTACCAACACAACTACAGATGCACATTTGATTAACCTGAGCATTTGATATTCCTGTCATTACAGGGAAGAGCTTCAAGCTTGCAGTTACATGCTAGCAGATCAAACAGTTTTTTTTTTGTTTTTTTTTCTCACAACTTTTAGGTCAAAGGTTTAATTTTATTTCCATTCCAAAAAAAAACATTGTTATAAAATTTTAAGAGTTCAACAATCAAACTTTTTTCAGGTAACAAAACTAGTAAGGAATTGATCTAAAACTAGTTATAGAATTGCAAGTTTCTTTTAAACTACAAAGTGTTCTTTGAATAATAAAATTTTTGTCTTTAATTCCATCTACATTTTTTAATTTGTAGAAAAATAATGCTACATCACCATCAGTTACTAGGTCTGTAATAGGAAGATCGGAAGGGCTACCACCATATAAGTTACATTGTCTAGTTCTTCTTACAGGAGGCATTTTTGTATTATTGCAATAAATTTAGATAGTTTGATAATATTAATAATTTGGTAATATATATTATAGATTCTATAACTACTTAAAAATAGCAGTAAGTATAATTTGATATTCAACTTTTTGGTTTGTTTACATTTTTTTAACGCAGAATGTCATAATATACAGGAAATTTACACTCTGGAAAAATGTATAGAAACATTATGGAATAACTGGAGAATGTGTTCTTTTTGCATCATTGAATCAATAATGCATTAAGTATATTTTCCAGTTTCTTTAGCTTGTTTTTCAAAAACAGTTCTTTCTAGTTCTTTCAATTTTTCCAGCAGAGTGGACATCTTGATATATCCAATAAAAATAGTGACTTATAGCAGACCTTTTAAGTTAGAATTTTAATGCTTATTTTTAAAATAAGATAACTTCTACTCAACTTTAGAAGTTACTTTGATTGCCAAAACAAAGGTAATTGAAATTACTCCAGCTTGAAGTGACAAATTCCCAGAAATTGCTGGTGTCTACTGTGCATGCTTTTAAAATAACTGAATAAGGGATATTCTATATAAAATTTTTGAAATTATTAATGAGAAATATTCTATATAAAACTTCAAAATATTTTTTTGATTTTAAGACTTTTTATTCAACATTGCAGGTTTAAATCAACATCAGGTTTAAATAAAACTGCACCCACAAACAAAAACTAATTATGTGTATCATTAAAAAAATCATTAGAATTGATTGAGCCGTTTTTGAGAAAACTTTATTATCCAAATTTCAACCAATCATAATGTTGTATCAATTATAATGTACATAATATTGAGAGGTATAATAAGTGTTTATTTTAAAAATACAAATCTGCTTAAGTGTGCTAATGGTTAGAAATTTTTTATGCTACATGAATATTTAAAATAAAACAGCCTTTGCAACCAAAACTCAATAAGATATAATATATATACATGTTTTTTTTTAAATAAGCATATGAAATTTTTTAAACAGGCTCGGGTACGCTTAAGCAAAAAGTTAAAAGAGGCTCAAAAATATGCTTAAACTTAAGCATATTTATAATAAAATATGCTTATTTCAATACTTTCTAAAAATGCTTGCGTTACTAAAGGTTAATGGTTATAAGAAAAATAAAAAGTCGACTTTAGTACAGTATAATAAAAAATAAAAAATATATACGATATACAAATGTTATCAATGAAATAATAAAATAAATAAAATTTGAAATAAATGAAATAATAAAATAAATAAAATTTGAATTTTTAAATGATTTATCGAGGCTCAGAAATATGCTTACATATGCTTATTTTTTTTCCAAATCTGAGCCTCCATATGCTTATAAACGTTATGCTTATAAAATAAAAAACATGTATATATATATATATATATATATATATATATATATATATATATACAAATAGTATTGCGTACTAAGGTAAGCAATCTGATGTCATCTTAAATAGCCTGCTGCTGGGGGCTTCAGTACATACATCGACTGACAAATAGCCTGACTCACAGTATATCTGCTACATCGACTGAGGGTTTGGGATGGGGCAGCAATCGTTTCATTCATCATTCTTTGTTTTTTTTCTTCTTTTTCTAAAAAAGCTGTATGGGTTAAGGTAAGCAAAAAAAGTGAGCAAATGCTTATAAAAATACGCTTTAGTAAGTGTATGTATGTATATATATATATATATATATATATATATATATATATATATATATATATATATATATATATATATATATATATATATATATGTATATATATATATATATATATATATATATATATATATATATATATATATATATATATATATATATATATATATATATATATATATCAGGCCTTGTTTTAAAGCGTTACGCCTAGAGCGATTTACGTACGCCTTAAGCGCTTTTTATGTACGCGTAGAGCTGTTTTGGTTAAGCTACTTTTTATCATTTTTTAACTTTTAAATTAGCGGTAACATAAAAGAAGTAATTAATTTTCAAAAAAACCACATTAACTTTTAAATAACGATATGTAAAGGTATTTATTAAAAAAAAGAATTTACTTTAAAATTAATTGTTGTAACTTTTCATCGCGATATATCTTTCCTTTTTATAGCAATTAATTTGACGCTAAACTTTTTATCCAAATATTTAGCAACATGAAAAATTGTTTGTCAATCCTTAACTACAAATTTTTTGCAATTTTTTTAATAAAAAGTAGTAAAGTTTTTAGTAAAAAACTTTTAAAAAATCTATATTCCATATTTATTAATACAGAATATAAAAGTTTTTTGTAATATAGATTTTTTATGAATTTTTTACTGAATTTATAATAAAAAACATTTGCAAAAAAATTTGTAATTAAGAATTGACATTTTTTTTAATAAAATCTCAAAAAATGTCTTAATATTTTTGTTATCATGATAACAAAAATATCAAGACATTTTTTCGAGATGTTAAAAAAAATGTCTTTGCTTTTCTTATTAGTTTAATAGTATATAGCTTATAGTTAGTTTAATAGTATATAGCTTTTCTTATTAGTTTATTAGTATATAGTTTAAGTTATGCGGGGGGAGGGGTCGGCACAGAAAAAAAAATTACCTGTTACTCGCAATATTTGAATGAAGACAATTTGTTAAAATTCTTCTGCGTGCGATTCAATAAGTTTTTTTTGTCATAAATCAAGTTATAATATAAGGTAAAGAAATCATGAGTAGACTACAACATCCGCTGATGACATTAATATTACGTTGAATATATTTATATAACGGAGGTTTTATTATGCACGCGCACATTACAGGTTCTGTTAAATAAATACTAAGGCACATTTTAGTTTAATGACAGTCTCCATTTTTTACTAATGAATATGTATTTTTCTTTATAAAACAAAACAAACTAGTATATAAAAACCTTGTATATTTCTATTATCTCTAAATTATTTAAAGTTCGAATATGGATTGTATTTTGAAGGACAAAAGATTTACTTTAAAAACTTTTAAATCTTGGGACTTTGCCGATGCGATGATCACAGAAAAAGAAAAGACTTACGTTATTAAAATCAAATGTAAGTTATGTGATCTTCATCAAAATAAAATATTATCCAAAAACAATAGTGCCGTAAGGGCAACTGCCCAACGGTTTATAAATAATACAAGTCATGTTAAAATATTTTAACATGTTACTATATTTTAATTAAGTTGATATATAATTAAAAATAAAAATATAGTTCAATAAATAAATTAAATTTATTCTTAACAAAGATTACCTCATATTTATTCTTTTTTTTATTTTATTAAGTTAAATTGCTTACAAACGAAAAAAAAAAAAGAGTTTTGTAATTATACGTAGAATGAAAATACTTTTGAGTTTGTTTATAAGTTAAGGAACTTAATTTTTAACAAACAAATTTTTACGAACGTTTATTATAAACAGATACGATTCAAATTATTAAATATATATAAATTATTTCAGTTGAGTATTTTTATAAGTTTGCAAGATTAAAGTTTGGCGTACAAGTATTTGTTTTTTTGTTTTAAGAATAATTAATAAAAGAGTTTGCATAATTAAGACTTTTATATTTAATTTAACTTTTTTTTTAATTTCCTAAAATTAAAAAAAAAAAGATTTAATCGTTGAAAACGATTTTTCTCTATAGCTCTGTTTCTTTGTGATTTGTTTAAAAAGTTAAATATTTTTACAATAACATAAAAAGTTTATGAATTAAATTCCTAGCGAACGCGTTCAAAACTACGTATCAAAAATACGCTTCAAAGCAGACAAAACTTTTTTATATTTTTATAAAACGCAAGTTGAAACGCTTTTAAAAATTTAAAAAATATTTAAAAACTTAAATTTTTCTTTGCTAGTCAAAACAAAATCGTTGTTTAAATAATTAACATGGGTTTGTGTTTATCAATGTTAATATTTTTTGTTTACTCTAGAAATTTTTAAAAATAAAAAAAATCATTATTATTTTTTATTCAATAACGATTAAAAACAATTATTCAAAAACAAATTTCAGAAATAATTAATATATATATATAGTTTATATTTGAGTTAATTGTTAAATTGAATTAGTTTGCGGTTATTTATTTATTGCGGTAGTTAAAACACTTAACGCCTATAAAAAAAAATAAAGATAATTTTATGACGTCAAAATCGCGTTAAGCTAATGCATTAAGCACTTTTTTATTTAAAACAAGGCCTGTATATATATATATATATATATATATATATATATATATATATATATATATATATATATATTTATATATATATATATATATATATATATATATATATATATATATATATATATATATATATATATATATATATATATATATATATATATATATATATATATATATATATATATATATATATATATATATATAATTTGCTTTAAAAATACAACTAAGTCTACAGGAGTAAAATTATTTCACCATAAACTGATAAAATAAACTTGTAAATTTTGTATAAAATTATGTTTAAAAAGTTAATTGTAATGACTGATTAAATGATCTTACATTTAGCATCAACTTTAAATCTCCTTCAAACTCTCGAATTTTTGTATTATACAAATATACTTGATTCTGACTGACTTCAGATAGAAATGGGCTAATTATACTTTTATAATAATGCTTTGACATGACACTACCTGAAATAACTTCTTTGCATTCATGAATCATCTAAAATGAAAAATAATTCTATTAAATTTTATTTGATAATATATAAAAAAAAAAGTTAGTTATCACAAATTAAAATAGCTATATAAAACTGCACCCTAAAACTTTAAGCATTATGTATTTAATTTCTATTGGGATAAATGAGTAATATAAATCAGGTTTTTACTTGCACAGTAAAAACCTGATTTATATTACTCATTTATCTCAATAGAAATTAAAAACATAAAGTTTCATTTAACTCATATCATAAATAAAACAATACTGATACAAAACCGCCAATGTTTTACACTGTTTTTTTCTATTTTTAATTTTTCATTTTAGTTTTTTTATTTTATTTGAAACTCGCTCAACCCTTAATTTTGAAAAACAAACATTGATAAAACAAGACCTCTGCACAGAAAAATAAGGTAAGCTCAGCACTTTCCAAGGCACAGGATACATTTAAACCTGCATTGTGAGCCAAGCATTCTATCAGTAGTTTACTTCAGCATTTTTATTTATTACTTTACAAATGTTTCAAGTAAAGATAAAAAGCGCTAAAGAGTGAAATTATTATCTAAAATCAAATTTAGTAGGTGCAACCTGTAAAATACTTAAATATATTTTGCAATCATGACATTATATATTATGTTATGATTGCAAAAATAAAAATTGCAAACAATGCAAATGTGTAGTCTACTTCCTTTTATTAGAATGATACTTTTGAAATGTCTAAGGAACAGGATAATTAACAATATAGACACAAAAAGAGAATAAAAATTGAAACACTCAAAATATAGTTAGACACAAATTGCTAAAAGTTATAGTTGGTTAGTTGAATGATTTGAAAAATTAAAACTACAAATTGTTTACTTCATAACAAGGAGACCTCTTGTATTTGAACTAATAAGTGGTTAAATTACAGTTGTTGATGGACAGTTTAACTATGGTTAAACTGCCCAACAAAATTTAAAGTTTAAATTCAAACATTACTAATCATAGAGTTTAAACAAGTGAATTAGTTGCACCATTAGATAAAAATTGCTTAAAAAACTAAGAGGAGATCTATTATATTTCCATAAGCTATTATCGTATTTCTTAAAGTATTTAGAATATTATACATTTTAAATTTTAAGAAAAGTTTCCCAAACCTACAATTTAAAATATTAAAGTAAGTTGTCACAATCAATAATACTACAACTAAAATGATAATAACTAACATAACCAAAGGCAGAAACAGCAAAAAATCTATATTAAAATCATTTTTTATATAAAGTAATGTAAATTATTAAAACATTATTGCTTACCTGCCTGATACTTAAGTAGGAAGGTTCTACCTTTGGTTTACATTCAATACGAAAACGCACACTCTCATGAACAATGTCTATTGGAACTCTAGTTAAAAAAAAGTAATTGTCAAGAAATGATGGTAAACACATCTCTTGACAAGCCTTTGCATATTGAACTCCATTACCAAAATTTGACATGCTGAAATCGCTTTCAGTGTTATTAGGTGACACAGGTGAAAGTGAATTTACAATATTCAACACATTTTTTGGTTCTTTTTTTAGAAATGATGAATTATCAAGTTCATTATTTGATAAATCTTTTGTTTGATCAGAAAAAATAAACTGTCCCTTGACTAAAGTTGACTTTAAAAGATTTTTCACACGCCTCATTAATCCAAAAAACCCAGATGTTCTCATCTGAGTTTCAACAAAAGAGCGATATCTGGAGGTACTGGTTTGCTCAATTACAGATAAATGATGAAAATGTTTTCCTTTTCTACCTTTTTTTACTTTATTTGGATCTGCAAGCAATGATGCAGATGAATTTTTTAAAACATCATGAATGCTACCTGAACACCATTTTGAATTGTAAAAGGAATGTTTTACTTGAAAATGAGCGAGTTCTAAAACATTTTAGTAATTTTAACACTCTCAAAAACTATTAAATGAACATCAAATAAAGAAACAAAAATATTTTTACAATATGTTTAAAAATATATAAGAACCTAATCCATGTAAAAACCAATCGCCCCAGACTACTTGATCTTCTAAATCAATATTTATCCATTTAGAAAGCATGTACATTGTTTGAAAAATATCAATATTAATATTTCTCCAAAACAGAAGGGCCTCATAATTCCGCACAAACTTGACATCTTTATACTTAAAATGTTCATTAATAAGAGATTCACGACTTGGGTACAATTTCTCCACATTGTCAACTTTCTTTAGCAACTCAACAACAACTTTCATAGCTCCAACATAACGCTTTTTATCAAAGAAATCTTGATGATGAGAAATAACAACATAACTGTTTGGATTTGCTTTGGAATCCTTTTCATCAGTAATCAAACTTTTCTGAGAAAAAACAGTTGTCTTATATTTTCCACTAACAGAATTGATATTATCTAAAATATAATTTTTTGAACAAATTTTTTCTTTATTATCTTCATCTCCATTTTTGTAGTTATCATCCTCAGACATAGAAAACTTAAACATTATAACCTCATCAAGAACTTTTTCAATTTTAAAACGTTCTTCTTGAAGTCTATTATCCTCTTCTTCTACAGTATTTCCAAATTGCCAAGCACGAATTTCAAGCCAGAGTAGTTCATTGTACTTCACCTAAAATAAATATTATAAAACTTGTATTAAATTATTTTCATCATGATCATAATGATCATGAAGAAACAAGTGATTAATTATTCAGGCAAGATTTGTTCTTTACTATTGGGAAGGTTAGAATTAAGTAATTAAGTACTTTATTTGATGTTGCTACCTTAGCATATGATTGTTATAAATTTGTCAACTTTATCTGCTGTGGCTATTACACTTTGTCAAAATATAACAGTCTGCTAATCTACCTACATTAACAAATAAAAAATAAAAAAATACCTACAAAGATAAATAAAAAATATTTCTAAATGGTGATTGTCTGCAAGTCTATCTATAAAGACATTACAAAAAATATCCCTAAATGGTGGAATCTGGTTATTAATGTAGTCTATACTACCATCCCACAATATATGTGAATAAAAAAAACTATATATATATATATATATATATATATATATATATATATATATATATATATATATATATATATATATATATATATATATATATATATTAGCCCATCCCATAATTTTTTTTTGACAACCATTTTTTATGCGGAATGGCTAATGAGTGGCGTAGAGGTCATATTTATATAAAAAAATTTTATATCTTAATTTTCCTTGATAGAAGTATTCGCGTCGATTGTTCGAAGTTACGCTTTTTATCATTTTTGACTAAATTTAGGGCAATTTCCAAGCATTGGCGCGAATAGATTCTGATGTCAAATCCAGTTAATTTGTTCAACAATATTTTCTTTATGTGTTCCTGTACCAAAAAAAAAACACTGTGCTTATTAATTTAAGAAATATGCTGTGCCTATTTTACACTGATAACGGTAAATAAATTAACTCTTTAGCTACTGTAAAGTGATTTTTTGTTGTCTTTTAGGCTTTTTTCCTGTCATATAACAAACTTATGATTTTTGCCTCATTTTGTTATCAAATAATATATGTCAAATATAATGTGCTTTGCAAATTATTGAGATGACTAGAGGCTGGAAACTAAAATCCCTAAAATTTCATCCCCCCTGCCCCAAACGTGAGAACAACAAGTTGGTAAAATAATTTTTTTGAAATTCTTAACTTTGTTTATATTCATTGATAAATTTTAAGTTTCATAGTAATATCTCTCAGAGTTCATAAATTATAACCATATAAAGTTTATATGGTTATAATTTATGAACTCTGAATATAAAATTTGCTACCCCCTCAATTCGAGGGGGTGAAAAATTTTATATAGTCATAATTTTTGAACACTTAGAGATTGTAAAACAATACTTAAAATTTATCAATGAATATAAATTTAGTTAAGAAAAGCAAAAAATTTATTTCATCAACTTGCTTTCACGTTTGGGGCTCGGGGGATAAACTTTTAGGTTTTTTTTTTGTTCTTAGCCTCCAATCATTGAAACTTTTTAAAAAGCATCATTATTTGACATAAATATAAACATATAAATGTTTGGATCTTAAAAACCAAAAAATGATGGATCCGTCACTGCCACAGATCTATTGTTTCTGAAGCAAATTTGCTTCAGAATTCAGCATTTAAAAGCTATAAATGTGCAATAAATATTTATATACATATAAATTTTCAGCTTAAGACAAATATCTGAAGAAAATATGTAAAAAAGTAATTTATGTACTTTTAAGGTTCAGAGTTTGCAGTTAGATATTGGATCAAAATCAATTTATTAGAATCATTCAATAACGAAAAAGCTGTCGCCGTAGCTAGCTCCTTGAATCCAACCGTCTTCTTTTTTTAATGGTTTTTTAAAAGAATTCTATATTAGAAGTAACTCCTGAAGCTTATCCAAGCTCATCACACGCTTAAAATCTTTCCCAGGAAAGGCGTGCGATTTTTTGTCTTGTATGACTACACGTAAATATATTATTTTAGACAACTTGGTCATGGCGGTTTTCAAGTTTTTTTTATATGCGTTGCTGACAAAAGTTTTAAAAACAAAATAGGAATTTAAAATAAACTTAAATAGAAAATAATAACAATAACTTAATTTAATAACAAAATAGGAATTTAAAATAAACTTAAATAGAAAATAATAACAATAACTTAATTTAATAATTTGTGTACTGTTTTTATTTTTGTTTCTTCATAGTGGTTATTATTTTCGACAACAAAATTCAGTAAGTCATAGCACAAAAAAAAAAGTTTTAAACATTAAAAAGAATGATTTTCCTATATTTTGTTTTTTTAAGGGGAAAGCAAAAATATAAATTGTCATCTGTTTGTAAAATATATATGTATAATTTTAATGCAATAAGTATATATCAAGGGGTGAATCTAGCGATCGCGATTTGCAAACCTTGGAAAAACATCTGATCTTCAAAATTTTAGTTTATGCAAAGCTGTGTAGTTTATTTTCGAGCAAATTATTATATTTCATTAGCGAGAAAAATATAAAAACGAACAATAAACTTACGACTACAAAAGTAATAATACTCTCGTCACTAACTGCATTATAAAAGTAATAAAACTATAATAGTGTTATTACTTTTATAAAGCACTTTTTACTTTTAAAGTTAATTCTTTCTTCAAACAACATTAGTAATTCTAAACAATAATTAAAGTAGAAAAGCATCTAGAAAAAATAAAGCAGATATTCAAATATTATTAGCTTGAGGAATTTTTACAAATCACTTAAACAACTTTATAAAAACGCACTTAATAAAAAGTTAAGCATTATAAAAAACATCACTAATAGTCCGTATAAAGGTGTGTTTAATTTTAAAATCAACTAATCAAAATTTTTATTGGTTGATTTGAAAATTAATGCACGTTTTTACGTATCATTAGTAACATTTTTAATAATACTAAACTTTTTATACATTATGTTTTGATAAAGTTACATTTACGTTTTTATAAGTTACTTAAGTTTTAAATATTATTTGGATATCCACTATATTTTTCTAGATGCTTTTCTACTTCAATTAAAATTTGGTAGAACTTATCTTATTTGAAAAAAGAATGAATTATAAAAGTTATAAGTGCATTATAAAAGTAATAACACTATTATTGTGTTATAAGTGCGTTATAAAAGTAATAACACTATTATTGTGTTATTACTTTTAGAATGCAGTTAATCACTAGAGTGTTATTACTTTCGTAAGTTTAATGTTTTATTTTTTATAACTTTTTCGCTAATAAATTAAAGTTGATTCGCCCCTAGAAAATAAAGAACATGTTTTTGTAGAAACTAAAATTTTGAAGATCAGATATTCTTTCAGATTTTGCATTTCGTGATCGCTTAATTCAACTCTTGTTGTTATATTAATATATTTTACAAATACATTGCAATTTATATTTTGCTTTCTTCTCTAAAAAAAATTAAATAAAGGAAAATCATTCTTTTTATTGAAGACTTATAACTTTTTTTATTACTTTGCCTAATCTAATTTTGTTGCTGAATGTAACAACTACTCTAAAGAAAAAAAAATAAAAACAGTACATAAATTATTTAAATTATTAATTTATTTTTATTTTTTTCTATTTAAATTTTTTTTTTATTTCATTACTTTGTTAGTTTTACTTTTTTTGTTTTTAAAACTTTTTCCGCCATGATTAATATTATAAAACTTGCAAACGGCCATGATCAAGTTATCTAAAATAAAATACTCTCGCGTGGTCATACAAGACGAAAAACCGCACGCCTTTCCTGGGAAGGCTTACTCTACATCATGAATAAAATTTACTGTAAGCAATTTTTTATTACAAAATATTTTTCTTAAAACAAGTTTCTTGTATCAAGAAATAAATATCCTACCCTGCAATTTATTTTTAAAAACAAGAAATATATTTCATGTTTTGAGAAATTTATTTCTTAAACTATGCTTAATAGATTTACGGTTTTGCTGTGAGTTCTGAGGAGTTGTTAGCAACTTTAAAAGATTTTAAAAGTTTTGGAATTCATTGTACCCAAAAAGTCTGAGGGAGTCTCATCCGTAAGAATTTTTTAAAATATCAAAAATTAACCAGTAATATGTAAAATATACAACTCAAGACCTAGTGGCTGGTCTTTATCAACAAAAACTGCATTTACAAGGATTTCAGCTTTATTATTGATTATTACTGATTCTATTGATTATATATTGATTATATCCGTTTTTACACCTTTTCGGACCTCCCTTTGTTTTTGAATACAGAACTTTTCACCATCTTTATATTGTGATCTCGATCAAAAGATGCTAACACCAGCACCAAGCATCTCTAAGGTTTTGCCATGATTTAAATTTTACCTCTGCAGCAGGCTCAATAAACATCAACCAATAGCCTTGTTGATCTTAAAAGTGTTAAATAATGCAATGTAGATAAAATGAGGTTTAAAATGACATTGCTAAATACTTATTACATTTATTTTTGACAAGATAAAATCAAAGCACTATTTCTATTGATTTCATTTTTATTATATTTCTACAGGTTTTAAGAAAAGTCTGTCATTAGAAAAAAAAAATTGGTTTAGAGTTACTTTTTTGTATTTTACATCTGATTTTAAATCATTTTGCAAACCATAGCTTTTAAACAATTTGTTACTTTATGACATAAATTATTCTTAAATAATAAGACTAAAATATCAAAATTTATGAAATTAAGTTTTACTTTTAAAAATGCAGAATCAGAAAAGTTGCAGGTCAAAAACCGTGATTTCCCGGAAATAGAAATTTAGTCAGCCACTCTATTAATCTCTTTGAGTATTTTATTACTCAATTAAAACTTGCCTGATTATAGAAAAATGCAACTTGAATTTCATAATAATCAAGGCATGTGAAACAGCTCCATATTTGTTAATTTTCACTTAATCGTCTGATTTTTTTTCCCAAGTTCACAGTAATCTCTGCACTTCTCAAAAGTCTACATGTTTTATCTTTACCTTACTGTTTTTTAGCCTTTTATGGTTTTATGATATAAATAGTTAACTCCCCAGCTTAACAGTTTTATTTACGGCTACGGCTATATGTTTTATTTATGGCTACAGCTATATGGAGCTCTCCGACATG